ACATACTGGTTACCTCGAACAGAAAAATAAAAGTGAGAAATTGATGCAGCACTAACTTTAGCTACATTAATAGCCATTTTACGATGGTAGGACCAAGTAGCTATTGGATTGGAAATAATTGCCCAGATATTTGAAGTGCTTAACCTGTTCAAGTTTGTTGCCATTAATAATCCACTTATAAGATTTTCGGGAATAGGGAACGACAAATACCTTTGATTTTTCATAATTCAACTCCAATCTGTTAATCACACAATATTCATGGCAATGGTTCAGTAAACGGTTTAATTCAACACGAGAAGTAGACAAAAGAACCGTGTCATCTGCGTATAATAACAAGGGAATAAGAGAAGAGCCAAGTCTAGGGCTATGGCCATCAACTAACGACAAAAAAGGGGCAAGGTCATTTAAAAAAAGGTTAAACAGATGGGGGGCTAAAATGCACCCCTGCTTTACCCCTTTCCTAATACAGATCTTGGGGGAAAGTCTCCCAGACGAAGCACACCTGACCTGACAGGATGTGGAGGTGTGAAGTCTTTTGATAAGAAATAATAACCTCCTATCCAAAGACATCCCCTCAAGCTTTACCCAGAGAAGTTCCCTTGAAACAGAATCAAAAGCCCCTTTAAGGTCCAAAAAGGCAATATACAGTTTAGACCTTTTCCTTCTTATGTACTTATTGATCAAATGAGCGAGGACTAAACAGCGGTCCAGAGCTGACTTCCCCTGGCAGAAACCCACCTGTTCTGGTCCTAAATTTTTACTAAATATCATCCAGGTGCTGAGCTTAATTTGCGAACATTTAGCATAAAGTTTCCCAATGACAGATAAAAGACTAATTGGTCTAAAAGTAGAGGGATTAAGATGACAACCCTTTTTGTAGATGGGAACAATTATTGCATTGGTCCAAGCTGCTGGCATCTGGCCAGTCTTATTTAACATGGTGAAAAGAGCAGCTAGCGGGGAGGCCCACCATTCTGGGTCAGCTTTCAATACCTCAGGGATTATGACATCTGCGCCAGGAGCTTTGCCTAATTTTAATTGATCTATAAGAGGTGTTATTTCCTCCAGAGTAACAGGAGGCCACTCCGGGAGACCGTCCAGGGGAGAATAAACCAGTTGCATTCCATTGCTGTGATGTACCTAACTATAATCACGTCTGTGATAAGTGATGTTTTGGAAGGAGTCTAGTAATGTTTTTGTAGATCTTGAAGAAATGCCGAAGCAGAACCTTGTGGACAGATTAGCCTAGGCTATTGGGAGGGGGAAGGGCAAGATCCTAAATTTTGGGAAACCTGGTCCCTATCTCAGAAAACAAAAGCCTAAGAATCTTTCCCTCTAAAGCTCAGTTCCCTCCTGTCCTTTGTCGCAATGGCTGTCAAAATGCTGCCCTCTCCCAACCCACTACTTCAGAGCTTCCCCTTCATCCACTCATGGAAAATCTTGTTTCTTGACTGATTCCAGTGATGCAATTGCAATGAGCATGACAGAGGTCTCCCTTCAAAAGCTCTGTATATTCTACTGAGCCATTGCTAAATAATGGGGTTTTGCTGAAAATCTGGGGACGTTTTGTGGCAGAAAAGACACAGTGGCATTCATGAACCTGGAAAGTCTATCTTGTACTCACAGACCTACCACCACTCAACCTCTCAAACTGTAAAACCCAGCAGGCATCATGGTCAGAGATGAAGGTCCAGCCAGTCAGCACATCTCCAAATGTTTACAACAGAAGAGTCACAGACAGGTTCTAAAATTACAGTGTTTTATTTTAGCGTCTTTTTGTTCCATTGCATGTAATACAAGCATTCACAACAAATTTTTATTCGCCCATGCGCAACACTAAACACTGATTCATCAAGGCCAAATGTGAGAAGGGCAGAGAGAAGAAGTCTCTTGTTGTCAAATATGGCACATTTGGCTAGCACCAGCATAAAGAGTAACAGTCACCTTGCCTGGAAAATGATTTGGTAAGTTTCAACATGGAAACAAAGAATTCTCGAAACCTCCTATTACATAGAAACTAATAGATTCAATGCAAGGCAAGCCAATCCCAAAACAATTTGCTGCCTAGTTACCAGGAAGGGAGAGATTCTCATCATAGGCCACACCATCTGTAAATGAGCACTTATGTAAAAAGGCAGACGGGGGGGGGGGGGGGAGATCTGAAGAGTGCTGTACAGTACATTCCTCCCCCACATCAAATTTCAAGCATTTAAAACACTTTACATTATCTCAGAAGTCATTACAACAGTCCTATAAGGTATACCAGTAACATTAGTTCCCTGATTACATTTGGGGAGAAGAGGATAAAGGATAGCAATTTGTCTAAGGCTGAGATTTGGAATGAAGATGTCAGTCCTAGAGATGTAAAATTTCCGGAAATTTTGAAGCTCGGAAAACCCCCCGTTTTTTTCCTGGAAAAAAACGGAAATTTTCGGAAAAATTGAAAAAAATGCTACATTAGCATTTCTTTTGTCTTTTCTAGATTGAAAGTCATTCTGTTACTTTAGGAACATAAAATATGACTATGGACATTTTTATTTGGCATTAAAAATATAGTGTATCCAAACAATTATTACAAACAGAATACCCACCCACATGCAAAAACAAAACTGAAACCTTTTTATTTTCTTCTGACAATAGCACCTCCTAAAGGAAGAAATGCATCTTGCATTGGAGAGTTCAGTTTGTAACCTAGGACTGGCTTGTCCTCAGTGCACAGAAATTAGATCAATCTGATACCATATATATATATATATATATA